CCGCGACCAGGGCGCAGGGGCGGTGATTCCCCTGAGGCAGCCGCTCCCCTGAGGCAGCCGCGCGGTGCCGTTGCAGATGAGCAGGGCGAGGGCGGACGAGGAGGAGTACTGGCACAGCTCCAAGTTCCGTGCCTTCACCTTCGACGACGAGGATGACGAGCTCTCGCAGGTAGGGTCCGACCCGGGTCTGCTGGGGCGCCGCGGCCCGGCGTGAGAAACCCCCCGTCCCCGCCCCGGGCAGGCCCCTCCGTGGCCGTCTCAGCCCAGGCCTCGGCCCCGCGCTTCGCTGAGGGTCTGTGCTTCGTGGGTGGGGTGGCTGCTGGCCTCCTGCCCTGCGTGGAGGCCACCAAGGGCTCCCATCTCGCCCCCCACGGTGGCCAATCCGAAATCTCATTAGGACCGCGGTTCCTCACCCGTGCAGCAAACTGCAACTCCTGCTGGTTGAGCTGTCGGCGTCTGTGTAGGTGTCGGTGGCCTTTGGATTCCCAGCGGCGAGGAAGGGCTGCTGTGTCTGCTGAACACCTACAGGTGTAAAATACCTCCTCCAGAACAGGCAGTGGAAACCGAACAAGACGTATTCAAAGCTCTGAGGGAGATTGTTTGAAGGTAATAGGCGACGAAGCGCAGTCTGCAACACTGGTGGTCTTTATACAAGCTCTGCTTTTGTCCGTAGCTAAAGGAATCCAAACGGGCTGTGAATAGCCTTCGGGACATCGTCGATGATGATGATGACGACGACCTTGAGAGGGTCAGCTGGAGCGGAGAACCTGTGGGAAGTAAGTGCAGAAGTACTGCAAGTTATCCTTCAGACAGAGGGAGTTTAAAATTACCGCTTAAGTCATGTCATTTAGTCAAGGTCAGGAGTACTACTCCCCATCTAATCCTGCATATCTAATCTAATTCTAGTCTGCTCGGGTCACATTGTGAGCCACTTGATTTACCTGTGTGGATCCACTGAAAAGAGAGCGAGCAGAAGCCCAAGTTACATAAAGAAGTGCAGACAAGTGGAGGGAATTCACTGTTGTTTTTCCCAATGTGTAGCCCAGCTCGGAGCACATATTTTGGAGGTTATGGCTTGATATTCATCATGCTCTGCTGGCCTGCAGGACTCTAGGTGATCTTTTCCTTCACACTGCTGCCTGAAATGGCACCATTTAAAGTTCTCTGTGCTTTATCCCCACAGCACTTTAAGGAGATATTCCGAGGTTTAGTGTGTGTTTATAGACTGACTTTTATGCTTGAAGTTTGAAAGGGAATTGTAAGCATTAAGCAAATGCATTTCTAGTGATGATGGGAGCGAGCTCATGACCCACGCATGATGCTGTCTGCTCCGCTTTGGACTTCATGACCCACGGAATACGTGGCACTTGCTAGCCAGTGCCAAACAGTGAAAATTTACATTTGGATCATCCAGAGGACCTTTAGAGAGTCTGTTCTTCTTGTCCTATGTGGTAGCTTCTCCCTCTGGTTCAGGCCGTTTCTTTTCCCACCCAAGGTCTCTACCTATCTGCTTTTTTGTTCTATCACCCTGCCCTAAAATGTGTGTTGTGCAGCTGCGTGAAAAGAAGGGAAAACTGTGTCTCAAACAAGCAGGAGGGAGACATATGCATTGTTGCCAGCAGCATATGCACATTGATAGCCGTTTTGTCTGTTGGAGAGAAAAACTATCTTACTTTTCCAGTGTTCAGGAAGGTATGCTCTTATGCTTCTGTAATTTGAGGAAACCCAGGGATTCTCTGTCTTGCTCTGTACCTTTATAGCAAGGATATGCTTTAGCCCACGGAACAACATATAAATGTTGGGTGGTCTGTGCATTTTTTTATATAACCATAACCAGCTGTACAACATTGCTGAAATCAAACATTTCTGGAGGACAACACACAACCGTTTAACAAGCAGTATTACACGGGACTGGGATTCTGTGCACTGCATCTACTTAGTGCTGAGGGTTAAAGTTATTTGGGATATGCTAGTGCAGAACTGAGCAGGAGACACTTGGTAACATTCCTGCCATGCCATAAAACCATTCTTTACAGACTGGTTTTCTCTTTCTCTGTCATAAATGACCTCTATCTGCACTTAGGTATCTCCTGGTCAATCAAAGAGACAGCATCCAGCAGCACTAGCTCGCTGGAGGGCCGAGACTCCAGCCTACAGAAGGGCTCTTCCTCCTATGCTGCTTTTCCCAAACAAGTTTCCTCCTACTCCCTAAGCAGCCTATTCAAAGGTGAGGTTCCTCATACACAATATAGACAAATGGGTTTTCCCTCAAGAACGTCAAGGGGTGATTGTGTTATCTCACGTAAATTGTTTTCTCTTAAGTTTACTGCAAAACAGGGAAGCTCTGATCTCTCCTGAGTGTGGGAGTGTATCTCTCAATGGTCAGAAATTGGAGGCTGTCTTGTGCAGAAGATCACGTGTTCTTGTGGTATGGGAGGGGGCTTTGGAGATTATGCCTTCTTAAAAGCCAGGTTCTCCAGAACAGCAAGGTAGAGCACAGCACTGTACAGCAATCCGTTTGCATGGTGGAAAAGAGCAGGCTACAAAGGGACTGGCTTGACCCATGTGGGCCTCATTTGATCTTCAGTACTGTAGAGAAGACGGGTTGGTTATCCTTTATTTGGAGCTCAGCTGGCTGCTGTTGATGTTGTAGTTGGTTCAGCAAACACATGCTAGCAGCAGTGGTGGAATAGCTGGTTATGGGGAGAGCTGCACAGCACACCATGGGGAGACTTACACAGCTTGCAAGAGTTCAGTTCTGTTGTCACATAGCCAGACAGCAAACCAGCTTTTACTTTGTCTCTCTTTCTCTGGAGTGGTTTTTTGCTCTCAACTTTGATAATACAGTGATAATGAAAGGCATCCAAATTGCAGCCCTGGTGAGCAAAGCTGTCCGTGTTGCCATGGCCTAAGCAGTGCTGTGTGCTTGAGCCTCTGTTCTGCAGGTAGATGAGTGAATTCAGGCTCTCTAACCTCTCCTGGTCTCAGTAACAAGAGGGCAGATAGGGCCAGGGTGTGATGTGTTTTGTGATACCACAGACAACTTCAAAGCCTTAGACTGCAAGCAGGTGAGACCCAGCTATGCCAATGTAGTGTGAATCACTATACAGAGTGGCTTGTTCTACAGTGGCATAGCTGCAGAGCACTGGCTTGCAGTCTAGCCTTGTGTTCCCTCTGCAAGAGATGTTGCTGCTGAAGAGACAGTCTCTTATGAGTGTTTGTTTTGATTTCAGGACGAAACAAACTTCCAAGTTTCCAGTCCCTTTCAGACGGTAAGTTTTGAATCCCAGCCTCATTTTGGGAGAGGTGCAGATTTATATAAACCAAAGCATTTCCAAAAAAAGGCAAGTGTCATCTTCCTTATGTTGCAGAAGGGGAAACTGAATCATGGGTTGTCTGACAGTCATTCAGCAAAGAAGGAAAAGAGTTGGCGTGATGGTTTGGGGTAACGTGCTTATGTAGAACTGATGACTGTTGGGTTTAGAGCAGCTTTGTATTGCCATTTGGTGCTTGAGCTTGGGTCTTCTACCATGAAAACCAAGAAAACGGCAGTTTTGGAAGTGGATGTGAATCAGGATTTTGATGTGCTACTCAGCTTTGCCTTTCCCTCTCAGCCCTCTCTGACACAGGAGTTAAAAACTACACCCCAGAGCTGCGCAGACCGAAAGCTGAATACAAGGTGAGCAGCCTGTATTTGTAGTGTGCTGAGATCAGAGTACTGCCAGAAGAACTTCCTACTCTATTGGTTTCATGGGAAGCTATTAATCGCCATTTCAGACAGCAGAAGGCAATGCAGGGAGTAGGACAGGGAGCTTCAAAATGCAGCCTCACAGTAATTTAGGTGTTCTCTGCTTTTGCTCAGAAGCAGGGAGCTTTGCCGTGGGGGACTTAGTTACTCCTCCTCCCAATGAATGGCCCAGCAGTCTTTGTGAAAAGGATTTCTAAATAGTGCTTTGCCTGTAAGCTGTTTTCATGCTGGGTCAGATGAACTGGCATCACATGTGCTTTTTAAAATTTTTGGATCTAAAGGCTTCTAAATTTCTTGTTCATGAATCACTGGGACAGCACAGAGGGAGTTGCACAGAGGCGGAGTTCCAGTTGGCAGGAATGTTCTTCTCCCAGAGAGGCACTGTTAGGTGTTGCAGAACCTAGTGGATTTTGGGACTGGGTGGATTCCTCCTACTAGGTTCGAGGTTGTGGTTCCATGTCCTCAGGTCCGGCCAGTAACGGGACTGAGCACATATTCCCAACAGATGCAGGCCTACTCAATACTAACACAGCTGCCCACACAGATTAACTCAGAAACCAATGCCTTTACTAACAGACACATAAACACACAACACTTAAGCCTGATCCTGAGCCTTCTTTCTGTCTGACCAGGATTGAATTACACTAGTGGAACATACACACACTCTATGGGTCTCTCCAGTAGCTGGTCTTAGACATCCAGTTTGTTTTGTGGCTGAATCCCAGACCCCAGTCTCGTCCAGTGGCTGGCATCTGGACCCTTGAACCCCTAGGGTTTGTGGTACCGTTCCATTTCCTGGTACTCGGACTGCTTATTCTACTCACTGGCTCATTGAGCTTGAAGTTCACTAGCATTCATATGAACACATACACTTGGAATAGAGAGCCCACCCACACAGAAGGTGGTTAAATACAGAATTTAATGAGAATGTCAGACAGGCTGCAGTGATCCATTGCAGGGCTCAGTCAGACAGGCACACTAACTAGCCAGTTGTTTAAGCTTGGCTGGCACCCTATGGCCATGTTTCCCTCTATTTTCCCATGCTTGTTCCTGCTCAATTAATTTTGATCCCTCTCTTTCCCTGCTTTTTGTCTTTCCTCTAAACTTCCGTAACAAGTTTCACACATTTACACAACCCTCTTAAAACATCCCAGGATTTTTTTTCCCCTGTGTCTCATACTAAGTCCTGTGCCTCTTTAGGGTTGCATGGTGTTTGGGGAAAGTTTCTTTGGTTTACTCACCTTGGAGGGATTTTACACAATGGAAAAATCACCTAATTATCTCATTTGGTGGTGGCTCGGAGTGGCCAAGTCGGTGTGCTCAGATTATGCTGATTAGGTTATTGGGTTTTCTCCACCTGTCCTTGGCCACCTGATCCTCACCAGGTTGGTGTGTTTATGTTGATTAGCAATTAATCACATGAGGTAACAGGCAGCACTTCCTGAAAGCACAGCAGAGTAAATAAGCATGCCCTGTTGTGTTGTGTTCTGTGCCTGGAAAGGCAGTGAAGTGGGAAGGAGAAGTGTTGTACAGCCCCTTAAAAGCCGGCAGGAGTATTATAAGTGGGGTGGAACAAAGAAGGGAAAGTTTGTGGCAGCTTTGCAACAGTGTCCTGACAGTGACAGGCTGAGGAGCTGTCTCTGGCCAGAGGTGCTGGAGGCAACCCTGGTGCTCAGGACATTTGACACTCAGTTATACATTGACTTGAGAGACTCATGTGCAGTGGTCCCCTAATGGGACTGGGTCAGCTGCCTTTTTCTTTAGATTTGGACTTTCAATAAATCTTCAATGAATTTAAAATTCACTGTCCTCAGAGCTGGTTCTGGTTACTCCCTTTCTCTGGCTCTTTTGAGGCAGAATGAATTACAACTGCTGGCTTGAGTGCCTCACAAAGACTTAGATGCATTCTTGGAGTCTGAGTTCAGGAGTGGCTCAGGCCACTGCCGCTTTTATCGAGTGCTTCCAGATCGTAGTCTGCAGGCTGCAGGGGAAGAACTTTGGTCATTGCAGCAGCTGTAGCGTATTACCTTAAGATGGTCTTGCTACAGGCTTCAGTGGTCTTGTCACATTGTACTAGTTCTGTGCAACTCTCCAGGCACTTGCCTGGGGCTGTTGTCCCTGTGTTCTCCACGCTGTTGTGGAAGGCTCACCAGCAGAAGTCTGTCTGAATTGTAACAAGAAACCAACTCCATCCCCCTCAGTTTGGGGTTTGTCAGTTCTGTGTGTGTTTTGTTTGTCCTTCTGAAAGCAACATTGAAACTTTAATTTGCAAGGAGGACAACCTATTGAAATGCACTTCTTACAAATGATATGATGATGGACCTTACTGAGGCAATAGAAAGACTCTGTGTTAACAACTGAGCCTCGAGCTTCCCTCCCTGCCGTCATGCAGGGTCTGAGGGCCCAGCATCTGCACCTGAACACTGTACTGATCCTACTAACAACCCCCCTGGAGCAGCTGAATGATAAGTCTGAGAAGCTACACATGGGCCATCACTGATCCACCACAAGTGGAAAGCAGCTTGGGGGCTGCTGGCATGATCTGGCCTCTTGAGGGTCAAAAGCTCTTTGTTTTTCTTGTGGCAGGATTACAGCAGTGATTGGAGCCCCAAAGATACAGTCAGGCGAATGCAGAGAGGCAAGGTAAGGACTTCCCACTCCCACCTGCTTGCAAGAGACGGAAGGTGTGTGGTCCTAAACTGCTTTGCACTTCCCTATGATCCTGGCTGTTCCAGGAGCAGGGAGGGGATCCATGTTGCTTGCAGCATCTAACAGTAACAGTGCTCTGCCTGTCTGCTGCTTTGCTGGGTGGCAGTGCTGGGATGACACTAGCTCAGGAGCAGCAGGAGACCTTCAGGGTTTCGTTGCATTGTTTACTTGAGTCATCCCCTCAGCTAGGCTCTCACAGGAGCTATCTATACTGCTGTGTCCCTTTCTACCCTTTCTGCTCCCTGGGGCTGGGTTTATGGAAAAAATCCAAGGGTGTGGGGCTTTACTTCCCTTCTTAGTTGGTTACAAATGGAGGGAGGAAGACAGAAGCAATCTTGATTACACTGGAGCTGGAATCTTAGTCTCAGGTGTCTCAGTTTGCAGTGAGCATGCAGGGAGCTTGTGGTTTTACTCTGCACAGGTCTCCTCAAAGGCTGGGGTGAACTAAAGGCTGAGAGAGGCCACAATTATATTGTAAGAAGGGAGGAAGAGTCTTGCAACTCTACTTTTCTGGTCTCCTCCATGGAAGGGGCCCTGCAGAGTTCCCTCTTCCTGTCCGGGCTGGTGGTTTGTGGTGTGCAAGTTTTGCTTTGTTACAAGGGTGTTTGTGCTGAATATACAATGTCTGCTGTCCTGGCCTGGGCAGTAGTGAGGGCTAACTCTGCAACTCCTGTGGATGGATTCCCAGGTATCATGCAGCATATGGTTTCAGCTAAATGAGAAGTTCTCTGCTGGTTGGGAGGACAGTTACTCATGTTGCTGTTGCTGAAGGGCTCATGGGGGAAGAATAGGTAGTACCTTCGGGGTTGGTTCAGCCTGGGGATTGTCTGATGTCCCATATGCCTACTTATACCTCTTCAATCTCCAGGTCTGCTCTCTAGAGAGATTTCGCTCCCTGCAGGACAAGCTGGTCCTCTTGGATGAAGCTGTGGGAGGGCATGATGGAAATGTCATTACAGCTGTGAGTCCTGCTGGGGCCATATAGGGCTGGGACTTCCTGGGTGATCCCACAGAGGGTGCTTGTGCGAATGCAATTGGTTGGCCACCTAATTGTGCAAGATGGGGGGTTGTTCTTTACTTAAAACCAAGAAGTTACTGAACAGTGTCAAAGCTTAAGACTGGGAAGTTCCATATTCCTGCTGGCTTTCTTGTCACTCTGCAGAATTCATGTCAGGTTAATAACAAGGAACCTGAACCTTCAGCCTTACAGATCTTTGCAGCAGCTTCTTGAAGGCTGACGTTTAATCTGCTCGTTGCAGCACAGAAGATTTGAGGGGCGTCTCCAGTTTATCTGGCTTCCAAAGCATCAGGCAGCAAATGGGACTGTGTCAGAGCTTCCCTCATCCAGATCTTTAAAGCCTTTGGATCTCTCATGGAAAGTTTTTTCTTTGTAAATTTTGGTCTCACTTACCTGAGCTCCAGAGTAGGAGCTTAGGCAGGCATCCAGGCAGCTGTGGCCCTGGCTCACTGCTTGTCCTGTGTCTAGTGGGTAGCAGAATTCAGTTCAGTGAGCTGTGTCTTCAGAGGCCCTTTGCAAAAGCTTCTCCAGGCCTTGACCAGTTTGCTGTCTGTCTGCCTTAATTCTCGTGAAGACTGATCTGGTCAACTGAGAGCTGCCTCTCTGCTCACAGGTCCTGATATTCCTGAAACGGACGCTAAGGAGAGGTAAGTGTGACTGGGGCCGGGGTTTCTATAGTGTGTTTTAGTTAAGGGCAGAGGGACTAGTTCTTTCACTGGGTGCAAGTCACAAAGAGAGCATCTGGGGTATTGCTACTTTACTGAGCATGAAATATTTTTGCAGCGAGTGTAACATGGGAGGGGGGATGGTGATGCCCATGAAGGCCCCAGAGAGGGGCTTGAAGCGGTGGTAGGTGGTCGTGGTGATGGGGTGAATGAAAATGAATCTGTAGGGGTAGCACACTGCTGTGAATTCAGCTGGCAGCCTGGTGAACGGGCTCCTCTGTGCTCTAGCCTCCAAGACTGTGCTTTAAATGGGATAAGGCTGTTGAATCCTGCCAATGGCTTGCAGCTCCATGCACCATGCTTAGCCCCCTCTGGCTTGATAGTACTAACTTAGTCTACCCACCTGTACATATCTCTCTCTCCTGTAGAGATCTTGTTTCGGGAGCTGGAGGTGCGGCAGGTGGCCTTGTGTCATCTGATCCATTTCCTCAAAGAGACGGGTGAGCAGAAGTTGCTTCTGGATCTGCTCAGGTGAGGCTCTTGCCCAGCCTTGTGGCGGGGCTGGGCACGCTGCTAGGAACCTGCCTCCAGATTAATGCTTGCTGATTCCCTTTTGCAGGTTCCTAGACAGGACTGAGGAAGTTGCTGTAAGTATTCCCAGGAGCAGATGTTCCCTTTCCTCAGTGAAGAGGGAGTGTAGTGGGCAGGGGGAGGCTGGCTGCAGGGTGTCTGGTAGTCAGGCGAGAGCTTTGCCATCCCCATTTTGCCCTCTGGAGTCCTGTATCTCCCAAATCTGTGAGAACAGACTGTGCTTCTTTTCCCTCTACCTCCAGCTGTCCCAGTACCAGGAGCATTTGAACATCCAGGACGTAGAAAAAAGGAGGGAATTTCTGAAAGGCTGCATTGGGTAAGAAAAAATGCAAGAGGGTGGGAGGGATGTGGGTGCTTCACAGAAGGTGGCAGTAAAGAAAATTAGACCTCTATCCCAGTGCCACGGCTTAGGTAGTTGGAGCGTTGATGTTGGTTTTACCTCAGTGGGAGTGGGGTGTTATGGGCACAATGTAGACCAGAGAGGAAGAATTTGTGGTGATCACTAATCCAGCATCTTTTGCTGCTTACATGGGGGCAAAGATGCTTCAGGGACCTTCTGATCGTTGACTGTTCGGGTTGTGAAGGATGAAAGCTTGGGTGCCTGAGCACTTGAGGAAATGGGTAGCATCAGCTTTAGGTTGTTCTGTGAGAGATGCCACATAATTTTTCCTTCTCTGGAGCCTGTCTAGGAGAGAGACAGTTGGAGAGGGCAGTGGGGCAGGAGCTTGCGTACCTACTAGCCACTCAGGCTGGGGAGAATGGGAGGTGTTCCCCACATCTCTGTTTGTGGGGAGCATGTTTGGTGGAGAACAGCATCCTTCTAAGTGTACTGTGTTAAGAGCTGCTGACAGTGCCTCCTTCCTCTATATCTGGCCAGGCTGCCATTTTCAGCTGAGGATACCTCTCACATCCAAGACCATTATACCCTGTTGGAGCGACAGATCATCATTGAGGTATGAAATCTTCCCTACTGGTCAGGAGATGACTGGGACTAGCTGCGAGATCTCTATCTGTCCCTACTTTATACCACTTTGGATCTAACCAACCTGCCCTGGCTAGTGTAGTTTAACTGCTGTCCAAGCTGCTGTGCCAGGCACATGTGTGAAATACCAGACCTGAGACTTCATGGCATGTTGAGGCTGTGCTTGTGCGTTGCTATCACATCAATCTCCCCAGTTCTTTAACCCACAGCTGGGTCAGGCAGTTGCCCTGGCTCATGTTCACCATCTCTGTCTTCCTTTTTTCTGCAGGCCAATGATCGGCACTTGGAGACAGCTGGGCAGTCAGAGATATTTCGGAAATATCCTCGCAAGGCTTCAATTCTCAACATGCCATTAGTGACCACCCTCTTCTATTCCTGTTTCTACCACTACACAGAGGCTGAGGTGAGAAGGGTTACATTTCATCCTGGTAGCCCTCAATATGTGGGGTGGTTAAACTGGGCATGTTAAGGAAAGAAGGGGAGGGAGGTCATATGTCATGCCTCAGAGAGACCTAAAGGAACCCAGCTCCCTTTGTCCATCTGGGACCAGTCTGGAGTTTTCTTTTGTGCTCTAAGATGTGTTCAACCTGGGACAGCCTGTCATGGAGTTGCCTCCTAGAAACCACCGTCTTTTACTTCTGGCTCCGAGGAGCCAGAATTGGCCCTTAATCCCATGAGGCTGAGGTGTGTGATACTGGTCTTGGAAGTGCTGGAGGTGCACCAGTTGAGGATGTAGGGGAAACCATACCAGAGAGCTAATGGGGTGGGATACTTGCTCTCTTCTGCCAGCTGTTTCCTCCTGTGGCACTGACATGAGCAAAAAGCAGTAAAAACTTGGGTAGATTCACCCTGTTCAAGGCAAATGCTTTACAATGGGTGCCTGAACCTCTCCTACGGCCTGCTCTGCTGAGTTTGCACTGACTTGTCTGCTTTCTTTAGGGAACGTTCAGCAGCCCGACCAACCTGAAGAAAACATTTAAGGTATGGAAGTCTCCTGCTGTTGTGGCAGCACTAGCTGAAAATGTGGGCAGCCAAATTGTATTTAGCAAGGGGGCTGGGTAGGAGTTTGAGGGGTTCAGCACTGAGATGGGGGGGAGCATGGCATCCTTCTTGAGCAGGGCCATTCTGAAGGCTCAGAAAGGCAAGTGGTAGCCTTGTGGAGGCTTTCACTTGAGTGCGCCTCAGCTGCAGCAGCACTTGCAGATCCCCACCTCTTGCTCTCTACAGCGCTGGCCCTGGCCTCAGGCAATATCTCACCTCCTTCTCTGGCTGTTGGTGTGGGTCCTAACAGGGCTAGGGGCAGATGCCATTCCTGTCCAACCCACACAGGCCTTCTGAGTTGTGCTAGTGCTCCATCTGCAGCCTTCTACCTTGCAGATTCCTGATAAGCAGTATGTGCTGACTGCCCTGGCTGCCCGTGCCAAGCTGCGAGCGTGGGATGATGTGGATGCCCTCTTCACCACCAAGGTGAGCTGTGGAAAGCCTTGCTGGGGGCTCAGTTCCAAGTACTGATATCTACTGTGGATAGCTGGCTTGTTCTGGAGTTACTGGACAAACTGATTTTATTTCAGCAGGGCCCAGCACCTCTGCTGCATGGTGGTGCAATACATTCCTCCTCTCCCTTCCCAAGACCTCTGCAGGGCCTGGCTTGGCTGCAGCAACACCATCAGAGAAGGGAGCTGTCCTCATTCTCTGTTACCAAAGGGTTTGCAGCCAGCCTGCGCTCAGCCACTGCATGAAGGGCTCTGTCAGTGGTGCGTGTGGTGGCTGGTGGCATGTGTTGCTGGCACTGAGGAAAAACATTTTGTTGTGGCTGGAGGGCTTGCCCTTTAGCATTAACAGAGGGTTTGGCTCTCATTTCAGAACTGGCTGGGCTACACCAAGAAGAAGGCACCTATTGGTTTCCACCGAGTGGTAGAGATCTTGCAGAGGAACAATGCTCCTGTGCAGGTGAGCAAGGAACTGCTGCATATGTCCTCTTGCTCTTTGTTGGGATCTGCGGTGTGAATGATTCCTCAAGTGAGCTGCTTTCTAGCTGGGAGCAGGAGAACAGCTTGCCGAGCTGCTGGCTCTGCAAGGTGGGCGCAGCACTCATCTGAGTGACCCATGCATCAACAGGAGGTGTAGGTGGTAGTGAGGGCTGGGTCCTACGTCTGATTGCAAGAGGGACAGCAGGCCTCGAGGTGTCTGGGAGCTCTCTCCCAACAGTGCATTGCCACCTTTGTTTGCTACATTAACTTCTTATGCTTAATCTGGCTGGCAATGGTTAACCCGATCCATAGGAACGAGGTAGCCTAGGACTCTGAGCTTTGTGAGCAAAGCTTTACTGCCTCTGGGATCCTGAGCAGTCTTGTCCTGGTCACTTGTTGCCTCAGGAAGGAAGGGGTCAAGTCTGTGTGACCAGTAACCTTGAAAGGTTTTGTGACTGGGGTGAGAGAATGATGCAGGCGGTACCTGCAGAAGGGAGCTGAGACACTCTTCCTTCCCTCGCAGGTGCTGCAGGAGTATGTGCGCCTGGTGGAGGATGTGGAGACACGGTTGAACCTCGCCACCAAATACAAGTGCCATGATGTTGTCATTGAGGTAGGTCCCTGCTGTGTGTCTGAAGAAATGGGACAAGAGCCTGCTTTTTCTCCCTAGCTTTCCTGTGGTCTGCCATGTGCCACTTGCTGTCATGTGCCTGGTGGGGTTTGTTTATCCCTGTGGCCTGGGAGCAGTGATATGATTCCCAGGGGAAGCCAAGTGAGCCAGAAGAGTGGGTCCTGGTGTTTGTGCTGTGTGGAATTGTGCCGTGGTGGGAACCTGAGGGGGGATTGAAGAGTTGTCCTGCTCATCTACAGGGCACCATCTAACCATGGAAGTGTCCTCTTCACTCACCTGGGTGCTGATTTTGCTGTTTATCTAGACATACAGGGATCTAAAGGATCGCATCCAGCTGACAGCATATAAATGCAAGGTGGAGCGAGGCTCTGCAGAAGAAGACAAGATAAACAGCATTCTCAACAACATGGTAAGAAACACCTACTTTTTCTTCCAGAGACTCTCATCAGAAACGGCCATAGATTAGGTGTAAGGGCATGGCTGTCCTACATACTTTTTATCCCTGCTGGGAAGCTAATCTTATGTTTGGGGTTGCATTTAGTGTAGGAGTGAAGGGTGAAACTGATAGAAATAGCACCCTCTGGCCATAGTTGTCCTTCTCAGGGAGTGGGACTCACTGACTTGGCCCCTGAGGGATCTGTGTCCAGCACTGATGTTAGTCATGTCTTGTTCTCTCTTTTAGCAAATCCGATGGAAGAACTGAGCACCTGTGAAGCAGCCTGCTTGGCTGTTGCCAGTGAAAGAGGAAACTGCAAAACCCAGTCCAGTGCCAACAGAGCAACTCTGTTACTACTCATTGCATGATCAACGTTCGTCAGTGACAGTGGGTGCCTGTGTCTTGTGGGACAATGGCATTCAGGCTGGTTGAAGGCAGCTGCTCTAATGTAGCCAGCGAAACCATGGTACTGATCCACCAGGGTTGATTCTTTTTGGAATCTGATTCTCTTTGACTTGGCTGTAAGCCAGGCATCGCTTTTGTTTATGGAGAGAAGTTGCTGGGCACAGCAAGGTTATGTTTGCTGTGGGTGGTGCCTGGCCTTATTCTTGCAAGAGGAACAGGTCAGTCACGCTCAAGGGTCTCCACCAAACAGTGCTGACCAGTCCGTGTAACACTCAAGCTGGCTTGGGCATCACCAGTCACAGCTGTGGCTAGAGTAAAGCCTACTGGACTGTGTTCTCCCTGCATCAGAGTGTGTTGGAGGAAAGGACCAGGTGCACCTTAAAGCTCATTTTTTTTGTTGGTTTGTTCTGGCTTACCCTAGGAAAAGAGGTGTCATATGAACTCCTGCAGAGAGCCAGGACAGCAGCCTCTGCCAGTATCCTTGTGCTGGCACTCTGCAGCTCTTGGAAGATCCCTTTATCAGGGAAGAATAGGCACCTAGTGTGGAGCTGGTCAGAGCCCTGCTGCGTTGGATGTAGAGCAAGGAGGGACCCCTCTCAGTTGGCACGAACCTGCTGGCTGCAGCAGCTCTTTTCTCCGAGAGTGTTATGCCAGGAAGGATTGAATTGCACTTTCTCAGAAACACAACTCCTCAGGCAACTGCTGGCTTCATCCTTCCAGACCTCACTTCAATTCCTTAAATAAACCTGTCTCTTTCTCCCTGGGCTGTTTATTTCCTTCCCACACTGAGCACTTTGTCACTCTGTGTGCTAATCCTGAGCAATTTATCACACCTCCCACGAAGTGAGTATGCAGGGTGTTTTCTCATGTCCTGAAAAGCACAGTGCATGTCACCATGGAGTGCCTTTGCTTGCAACAGTACCTTCTTTCACACCTTCAATGCCGTCAGCACAGATGAATTAATTTTAATGTTGTAGGAGAGTTTGTTGCCACACACAAAGGTGAAGGTTGTGTGTAGCGATGTACCAGTCTGAGGGCAGGTTTGGGTTCCAGCCTCCCTGCTGCACTGTGGACTCTCAAATTTTTTCTGTTGGTGTTTGTTGTTTTTTCTCACATAATCCTTTAGGTTGGAAGGGACCTCTTGATCATCTAGTCCAATCCTGCTCAAGCAAGGTCACTTGGAAAGGCAGACCAGGACTGTGTCTATTTGGGTTTTCAGTATCTCCACAGCTGGAGACGACTCAGCTTCTCTGGGGAACCTGTTCCTGAATTTGACCACCCTCACAGTAAAAAGATGTTTTCTTGTCTTCAGATGGACTCTCACATTTCAGTTTATGCCCACGGCCTCTTGTCATCACTGGGCACCACTGAAAAAGGGTCCCTTTTCTTCATTCCCTCTCATCAGATACTTGCATGCATTGATAAGATCTCCCCCGAGCCTCCTCGAGGTTGAACTCCTAGCTCTTGGCCTCTCTTCATATGAGAGATGTTCCAGTCCCTTAGTCATTTTAGTGGCCCTTTGCTGGACTCTCCGGTATGTCTATGTCTTGTTTGTACTGAGGAGCCCAGAACTGGACACAGCACTCTGGATTTAGAGAGGAAGGATCACCTTCCTTAACCTGCTGGCAACATTCATCCTAAGGCAACCCAGGATGCTGTTAGCTAGGGTAAGGTTTGCTGCCAGGCTCTCCTGCATGCCCCTGGCCAGGACGTTGCTTGGTTGTAGGCGTCAGAATGGTGTCACTGGTTGGGATTTATGTCAGGGAGCAACAGGAGAAGCTGAATGCACCCTTGGAGGAATCTGATGAAGCCATGAAATAAATCTTCACGCCTGTATTCTCCAAGCATGGGTCCTGGATGCCTCTTTTGTGGTATGACCAATGATACAGATGTGTAAGGAGCTACGTAAGTCCAGCAGCTGTGATCCAGGAGCTGTGATCTGGCTATGCCTACTGATCCCCTGGCCTCTGTGTGCAGTTTGCAGGATGCAGTGCTTCTGATCTGTGGGTAGTGGCACTGTCAATGTCCCAAGCAAAGCAGGACCACTTGTAACAGAAAATGCTGATGTGCCACATGGGATGGGCTTAGTGATTTAGATGTTCCTCACAGCCCAATACTAGAAGCTGGATACCAGCATTGAGAGCACCAGGATACCATGTCTGGTGTGTCTGATTGTGCACGGTGCATCAGGGAACGTTTGTCTATAAGGCAGCATTTGGGAGCCCCAACACTTTTTCCTGGGTTCCTCAGGCCACAGCTCACAGGCTACCCATGACTACTCTGTGTGGGCAGGAAGAGGAGGATTTCCAGGGAAATGTGTCCTATGGCTGGGGAGAGGGGGGTTGTCCTGATTTCAGCTGGGATAGAGTTAACTGTCTTCCTAGTAGCTGGTACAGTGCTATGTTCTGAGTTCAGTATGAGAAGTATGTTGATAACACACTGATGTTTTCAGTTGTTGCTCAGTAGTGTTTAGACTAAAGTCAAGGATTTTTCAGCTTCTCATGCCCAGCCAGTGAAAAAGCTGGAGGGGCACAAGAAGTTGGCACAGGACACAGCCAGGGCAGCTGACCCAAACTGGCCAACAGGGTATTCCATACCATGGGACATCCCATCTAGTATAGGAACTGGGGGGAGTGGGGGTGGGGGAACTGACGCTCGGGGACTAGCTGGGTGTCGGTCGGCAGGTGGTGAGCAATTGCCCTGCGCATCTTTTGTACGTTCCAATCCTTTCATTATTGCTGTTGTCATTTTATTAGTGTTATCATTATCATTATTAGTTTCTTCTTTTCTGTTCTATTAAACCGTTCTTATCTCAACCCATGGGTTTTGTTTCTTTTCCCAATTTTCTCCCCCATCCCACTGGGTGGCGGGGGAGGGAGTGGGCGGCTGCGTGGTGCTTAGTTGCTGGCTGGGTTTAAGCCACGACAGGGGTTTATGTAATGTAGTAAACCTAAAATTACTGTAGAGCTGATGGTTTTGGTTGGATTTTTTTTTTTTTTAAAGCAATGTGGCAGGCACTGCCTAGCTGATGTGGATGATGTTGGGACAGCCTCAGTGGGATACAGGTTTCCTCTTTAATACCTGTCCTAGGCTCTGTGTACTTTTGCATGTATCTGCTTTTAGGCAGCACAGTCCAGCTGATGAAGTAGATCACGGACAGAATTTGTATGAAAGTAGCAAAATGCTTTCTTTTTTGCTTCCTTTGGAAATTCAACCCATCTGCACCCACTGGAGAGGCCAACCTTCTTCTGCTTGAGAGCACCTTTTCCCCATGAACATGTGTGGGCAGGAGCTGGCATAGAGACACGTTCAACCCCTGCCCTCTTAGTTTTTTCATGCTGACCTAGCTGCTGGCCTTCAGGGTGGCACAGCTGCACCCAGCAGAAAAAAATAGAGACTGCAGCAGTGAAGGTGGTCCTCCCCCACGTCTGATTTCTGCTTTCTTCTGTGTTCTGGGGGATGCTGCAGTGGCTCCAGAAAAGCCCATGCTCCCAGCTTCCCCAGGTGAAAGCGTTCTATTCTCCAGTAACTGGGCGCTCACCATGGCAGCAGCAGTGCCCAGGTTGGGATGGCTAGGCACCCCCAGGGGTCTGGGCTTGCTACCCACACAGGTAGGGCTGGTGCCTGCCACCCCATCGGGGGACATGAACCAGGACAGAACCTGAGCAGGTGGAAATTTGGGGGCCTCATTCAGGCCACCCTCATTCCTTGTGCCAACTACTGTGGTGCTATGGGCACCAGCAGACTGCGGGTGGTAAACAGTGTAAGACATTCCAACCGTTTGCGATGGGGCATGGGGTCATTTTTGTCCCTGATGAGCTTGGCTGAGGGTGTTTCAGCCCAGTTGGTGCCTCACCCTGTGGGAGCCGTGCATGAGTCGGGTGAGCTGCAGAGAGCCTTAGGGAACGGGCCAGTTTTTGCCTCTCTCCATCTCCAGTGCAAGTTTGTGATACACTGAAGCGTGCTCCAGCTTCCGTCAGGGGACACAAGTAGTTCAGATAGCTCAGCAGTGCCCTGCTCTGGCCAAGAGCACTGTACATTTGCCTTGTGTCAGGCTACATGGTGCATGAAGCTGTCCTCTGCTGAAGCAGGCAGGGCGGGGAGGTGCTGCGCCAGCCACCTCTAAACCCCCAGCACCTTTGCTGGCTGAAATGCCATCTCTTTAGCAAAGGATGGAATCAGCTGCTCCAGTTTGTAGAGCTTTCTGGGATAGTCATAGTCACTCTGTTGTTGTGACAGTTGCCTCATACCCCTGAAAGCATCCCTGCAGCTCTCTTCAAGCAGTAAGACAGGTCCTGGGCAAGGATTCCCACACCTGGACACTGCTGAGCTGGCTGTGCCATGACACAGGGACTTCATGGCAAATACATGCAGGGAAAAGGAGCTGAGAGGCTGCTCAGCTGGGGAGGGCAGGAGGCACAGTATCGGCTTAGAAAAGCTGAGGGCGAATGAAAAAACAGCTTCAAACTGGAAAACTGAACCATGTGATGAAGGTTAGATTTTCTCATTATTTCCAGCCCAGGAGCAGCTTCAATGAAGTCTGTCCCAAGTGCTGTGCCAGCAGCTTGCAGGTAGCTGGGCTTTAAAGTCCCACTGGGACTTGTGTAATAGAGAAATGTAGCATCAGAGAAAGCATGGGTTCAGATGTCCACTGATGGATGCATCTTGTTCTCGGTGGCTGTGTGGGGACCAGCCACTTTTCTAGATCCCATGTCAGCAAGGAGAAACCCTGAGAAGGGCTGGGGTGTCACACTGCAGGTAAAACCCTGGCAGGTGCTAGGATGGACTGCAATGCTGTGTGGGTGGAGGCTGTGTCCCTCTTCTAAATCCTTGCTGCTGATGCTTGTCCTTCTGGGCCAAGATGTGGGACATTACAGAGCCTTTCGAGTCCTCTCAAGCTGATGAAGCAGCAGAAGGTGAGGCCTTGAAGTATCTGCCAGGTATCAGCTCTCAACTGCTGAGCTGCTTTACAGTTAGTGCTCAGTTAGCCTCAGCATGGGTGGTGTGTTTTGGGATGGGGACACCATGCTCCCTGGGGTCTAGCCCCAAGCCCCACAGATGCTGTGCATACCAGGCTGCAGCTATCAGCTTCTGCCTCTCTGGCAATCCCATTGGAAAGCAGGGGTGTGAGTTGGGCTGGATGCAAGGAGTAGGGTTGGGATGTGCTATCTGGACATGTAGCAGGGGACCCTTCCTGGAAGTGTAGGACCACATGTAGTCTGGGGAAACCGTGGGTGGTGCTGGGCTTCTCTGCTTCCCCTGGCACAGCAGGACTGAGAAGGGTTTGCCAGCTTCCTTGGGGGACAGCCATGGCCCAAAGGTTGGGATTATTGGCAGGGGCCACCTTGGGAAGCAGCCAGCCCAAGCATTCCTGATGCTGAGCTGGACTCTGTGCACCCAGTATCCATGTTTCCACCAGGTGCCCTGAGAGCCTGTGTAAGTGCTCCCCAGCCTATGACTGGAAGTGGGACTGCACTTATGTGGACTTTTTAACTGCACTTTTTTCATAGCATTTCAGGCAGAACTCACTAAATAATGTTTTTCTGCCAAAAATATGGAAGGCATGGAAACTCCAGGTTTTTTATTGGCAAGCAGAGGATGCTGTTGTAGAAAAGATCTTTATTGGGTTGGAAACCCACTGTCCACCAAACATTAATTTAGTTTGCTTTTTTTTTACCAGTGCTATCTGAGCATTGGTAGAGATATTAACTCTGTTCTTTGAATGCTGGCTAGTTAAAGAACCATTTTAGTTTAGTCCCCCCCATTTTCGTGGCTCTTCAAAATTCTCCTTATCATTTGCCAAGAGCCTGGTCGGTGACTGAGACTCCAAGTTGTTAAATATTCACCCAATAGAGAACACATCTCCCCAGATGAGCGGCAGTGCTGAAACAGAGACGTCCCCCTCCTTGTTTCATGGCTGCAGGGTCAGTTGTAGCAGACAAGCTTCTCACTGGGCTCTGAACATCCAGCCAGGAGAGGGGATCAGCCTGCAGCATTACAGGAACTGTGTGCATACAAACTGTCAACTGCCCCGTAAACTCTTACATAAAACAAGACAAGTGGGGAGAATGGTCCTCCAGGGAGATGCTTGGAACAATCAAATCCTCTTCTAATCGTCTCAGGGCAGAGAGGAAGCAGGGATTATTAAATGGCTTTTTATAGATCTTGAAAACTAGCCAGATCCCAAGGCTCGGCTGTTTCAGCTAAAGGCTTTAAATCAGCCTGCGCGAACTGGGTCCAGGCAGCTGAAGCAGCTGAGGTCTCTGCATATTTATTCCTGGCAAAGCGGCTGCCTGCTCCCTGTCAGTCTGCTGCTGCCCTTTACCATGTGTAGGAGTGGTGATGGGCAGCAGCCTAAGTCCCTCCATGCTACTTTGGGCAGGCAGCCAGCAGTCCCAGCCTGGCAGCAGTGGTTTGTGTTTCACCTGCATGTGGCAGAGCACAAGTAACCACACTGCCAGTGCCCAGAGGTGCTGTTCGGTCACCTGTGCTGGTTCTGTGGGCTCTTGAGTCCCTTTCTCCTTGCTTATTGCAGCAGACCTGCAGAAGCAGGGGCTCGCGTGCTTTTATGACAACACTCAGCTGGTGGCCTGGGTGGATGTCGCGTTCCTCTGTTGCCTCCTGTCACATGTGCCATCCCTCTGCTCCGTCGTTTGGCCTGCCATCCAGAAACACTGCATTGTGTACAGCCTCATCACCACTGTCCGTCTCCTCAGGTAAAATGGACCACGTCATTTCAGACCCTGGCCGGGCTGCCATCGTTTGGGACATCACAGGGCAAGTGCAGCGCGCGTGTGCTCTGGCCGAGCCGGAGCTGTGCAGAAGAACAGCTCTTATTGCCTCTCACAATTTTATTGTGAAATGCCATTGCAAACTTTGTCACGGTTTGTCACTTCCCCAAGTCCCCAACTGCTGGAGTCACGGGAACACTTTAGGGTTTCAGCTTTCTGTTTGTCTAGAGGAAGTTGTAGACTTTATGGATATAAACCTGAAAATATGATCAAAAGGAGTCAAGGGAGGTCCAGATCAAACACAATGCTGGCATTGAAACCCCGCTCCTGCCAGGGCCTCAGATTATCGCTGCAGGATAACCTGTTGTGAGACAGCGCAGGAAACAAGGTGCAGAGAAGCCGCCTTCAGTCTCCACAGTTGAAAAAGCAAACTCAGTATTTCACTTTAAACTGCTGCCGTAGCTCTCGGGAGGGCTCCGAGTGCAGGGGTACGACCTGTACCTCCTGCTCCTGACTCCTGGGGGTGCCCAGCCCCTGTGGTCAGGCCAGTCCTGGCCACCTGCTGAGGTGACCAGTGAGGGGCCAAACGTGAGGCTGCTCTCCATGCTATGGGCGAGGCTGTTCACTAGTAAAAGGTTTGCTGATCCTGCAAAGGCTAACTGCTTCCTCCTTTCCAGCTAAACCTAGTTTCTCCCCCATCAGCTAAACCTGGGTGATGCTGGCTGTTTATTGCAGGGCTGAGGGAGGGCAGGCAGACAAGTAGTGGGGATCCAGCTGGAGAGGGGAGAGGAGAGGAAAAGATAGGAGAGACCTTGCTTGAGGGAATCTGCCTGCAGTGGGGAGGGACCTGGACTTCAACATGTTCCTGTGCCGCTGCAGTTGTGGTATGACCTATGTGCACTGGGGGAGAAAGTGCAAGGGATGACTTTTATGCACATCCACACCTTTTTTTTTTTTTTTTTTAACAGACCACTACATGGCAAAATTAACAATCCTAGTCTGCCCATCTCTCCATTGGCAGTGTTAAGGCCCATGGATTAACTTTAACGCAAGGCAATGAGGTTCCATCAGATCGGAAGAACCTTTCTAGCTGGTTAAGACGGCTGTTGGAAAGGAGTCGTTATAAGAAACTTTAATGGGATGAATCCCAGCAACTGTCAATTCAGCCACGGACGGTGCGGTGGGATATTCCCTGCTGCTTCCTCCGGCTTTCCCTCGCCGCAGAACCTTCAAACCCCACGACCCCACCCGTGCCGTGCGTCCCACCGCCGGCTCCAGGCACCTGCTCCGCCGCAGCGTAGCCCGGGCTCTGCGGGAGCACCCTCTCCCTCTCCCGGTACGCTCGTTTCGGCTGCCTCCGCTCTCGGGTAGAAGCAACTCCTTTGCGACAGTGCCACCGTGAGGCCGCGGGCCAGGAGCCTCTCTGGGGGCGGGGGGCGAAGGGGACGGGACGGTCCCAGCGGCGCTGCGAGCCCCTGCCGTTCCCGAGGGAAAAGCTCTCTTCTTCCTTAACCGTGGCAGCAGTCCTTCTGAGGAGTTGCGCTCGGTGGTTCCCCTGCCTGTATGGTTCAAGGCTGGGTCTGGGCCGGCAGTAATTTTGTTAGTTAATTTTGTGAAATCCCTCCTAGAGAAATCCTGGCAATGTACAGCTGGAGCTGGAGTGGAAATAGCATGCGTGGAAGGGGGTAGTTATGCACGAGAAGCGGATGGGCAAAATGAGGCAGTATGTGTCTCCTTCACCAGTTTCTCTGATCAGCGCCCCGGGGGGGTCACCCTTTCTTTCAGGAGCACCGCTTTCCATGTACCTGCCACCAATTTCTAAACAGCTACCGCTTCCCTTCATGAAACAATAGTACCTCTGAGGCTAAATCAGTGAGCAGGATCTGAGATACACTCTGAGCCAGAACATGGTCCAAAATCTTTTTCTCTTCCCTCAGGCACAACTTCTGTTTCCATGGACATGCTGTTCCTATTGCCGGCTGCTACCTCTGTCCATCGCAATTTCATTATACGCTTCTGCACGCACTTCTAATTCTTGCATTGCTGAATGCTCTTAAAGCAGCTACAGTGCTTATCGTGCCATGATGGCTGAATGGTTATAGGACTTTATACGCAGCCTGTAAAGGACTCCTGTTTACTTGATGAGAATGAGCTACAGGAAATACAAGCTACACTAGACTTGTTACTATTAATTTCAGCATCCTTTACCTAAAATGATCCTAGATCAGAGGTTTCAGATAAACCAGCTCTGATTGATTGCCAATGCAATTCTTCACAGGAGTGGGAGATGAGAATATCCCTTCACACCTGTGTGCACACTGGTAATTGACATTTGATTTTGTTTGTCCTGCAGGGAAAATAAGAGTCAATGCTGAATGGCTGGTGGCCATTTTCTGTGCAGCCCTGAACAGCAGCACGCAGCAGAGCCTGCCTCACCAGAAGGCACTGAAATTACTCAGTGACCTCTGTGTTCCTGAACGCTGCCCCATCTGTGCAGAGCAGAAAACTTCCTGCCCACGGTTTATGTGCAAGAGTTTTGCCAGCAAAGGCTTTGCCTCTTCAAGGACTCAAGAGGGGTAAGTAAAGGGTTGAATGCTGAGGTACTGCTTGTCCAGGCTTCCTCTTTGCTCTGAAACTTGCCTCATCCCACAGCTGAAGCATGGGCTGTCTTGTTGGGTTGGAAGGTGCTGAACTCTGTGTTGCCCTTAGGACCACAAACCTGCCAGGGAAGATTGCCTTAGATGATGTATTAGCAATAAAAGACCTGGACTATCATCCCTGAGTTATTTTGTCCCTGGTTCCTGTTTGGCTACTTATCAGGGTTGTATGAAGCCACTGATCAGGACTGGAGCATTGGATGCAGAAAAAAAAATTCCTATGGGAGTATCTGGAGAGGACAGTTCTTCGGGGTAATAAACTTACGGTAGTTTGTGGACAAGACTACTAAGGATGTTAAGCCAGGGGAAACACTGCTTGAGGGAAAGGAGTCCTGCTTGTGCAGGATTGTTCTAGAGCCATTGGGCTCAGTTTTGCCCCACATGGCAGAGTAATTCCTGGAACACTTTAGATTCAAGTTTCTGAGTCTGATTGTTTCTCAAAGACCCAAGAAAGGGACTTGTAGTCACACACTGAAGGAAACCTTTATTTGTTAAATTATTAGCAGGCTGCTTCAGACTGTTATGGCCCACAAACGTTTCCACTCCAGAACCTTCCCCTGCTTTGACCTGACAGCTGCACAACTGAGAGAGCCTCCCTTTACCCAGCTGCTAGAAAAGAGTGAGCTTGTCCAGCGCCATCTTGTTCTACTATAGCAGGCACCCTTTGGGGACTGGCCTACAAAGCAATGTGGGCTGATCAGCACCAAGACATCTCTTACTTCAGCTGTAGTGGAGCCTGGTGTGATGTTGGATAACAAGCCTCCATTCTCCAAGCCGCTACTGACATTTTCTCAGAAATTCCAGAGGAAACTGCTGACCATGATTCTAAATCCTCATAAAGTATAATGAAGCCCATGGCAGAATGCTTTGCTGAGGTCTCATCCCAGCCCCCTCACAGGACTGAGAGGTGCAAGAACCAGCCCTGTTTGCTCTTGGACTCCTTAAAATATTCCAGCCAATAACTCTATGTACACATTTGCTTCTACATGTTTCACTCTCTAGACTGCTCAGCAAACTTGCTTCTCCCTGGCTGCCTGAGTCTTGCTTTATTTTGGTCTGAATTTGCTTATTACATAGTCATCTTGGCCTACAAACTGCTTCAATTTCACTGCATTTCTGTTGCAGTTTCAATAGAAAACTGAATTACAAAACCAAGTTACAGTTGTTTTGTAGTGGCTACAGCTTTGGTGTAAATAACTAAACAGGCTTGGGCCCAGTTTTGTTTGTTTGTTTTTTAATTTTTCCATGGGGGATCTTGAGGAAGCCATTGCTGCCAGGCAAAATAGTAATGATTTAGTCAGGAGCTCTTTCTGTTGAGCCAGGCTTAAATCAGCACTTATTGATACTTCCTTGCTGGCAACAATGCACCCCACCACCACCAATCATATGGTACTTCTTTCAAGGAAAAAGGAGATAATTGGGTATTCTGTCCAAATCCACCCAGAACAAAGCATTTTTTTATTTCCTAAATTCTCTAGTTCAGCTTGCAGTATTCTCTTATACTTCTGGCCATCATCTATCCTGTCTTTCAGTACTGTTTACTATGATAAACCACTGCTTGGTTTTGCCTCTCAGGAAATAATTTCTGTGGTGAGGCCAGGGATTAGTTGTGCATGTTGTAGCTAGGCCCCTCGCTTAATTATGATTGCTGACAGCAGCTGGCACCAAACCTGTATAGCAGTTATTGTATATGCCATTTATCTTACGTCTGGGCTTTACAGTGAGCCCAGTCTGCAGACACTAAAGCCTGGGAGAAATCTATTCACGTGAGCTGCAGGGAAGTTGTTATCAATCACTGGTAATTAAAATATGTCTATGATTGTTTGTTGGTCTTTTTAATCAACTGTGAAGCAGAAGTCAAAGACAGTGGTACAGTCTGATTTATAGCTTCTGCTTCATTTAGTTCCTGGAAGCAAACAAAGGATTGCAGAAAAGCGCCAATGTGGGGATGTGTTTGCTGTCATCAAATGGCTACGAGCTGCAATGGCCTTTTCTATATTTGGGAGAAGGTGGAACTGTACCTCCTTGGACAAATTGCAAGGTAATAAGGGTATATTCTGCTGTCCCTGCTGGTCTTCTTACAAAGTGCAGTGCGAGTCTCTAATCCTGCCTCTGGCTGCCCTGCAATATGGGGAGAGCATCTGCTTCTACCCCAGTCTGGGCTCGTTGCAAAGGAGGAACTGTAGTATAGGCCTCCAGTCCTGCTTCTTGGATAAACTGTGAAAAAGTGAGGGCATCTGCTTTCTTTCCTGATCGGGATTTTTGCTCCAGGAAGAGACCCATGTTGTCTCTGTAGGGGAGGGCAATGGATCTGTTGAACAGTGGCTCCTCAATCCCCAGCAACTCTCGCACGTGTCGTGAAATCTCCTGAAATACAAGACAAAATACCAGAAATTCTCATTTCACAGGGCAACAGCTAATAACATTCATTCTGTGTCAGAGCAGGAGGAAAAAGAACTGAATTTCTGAATTTCAGAACTGTTTCATGCTTGAAGTTGCAACTTGAGAGGGATCTGAACACATGAGCGCCATGCGACATTGTAAAAGCAGAGCAGACTGCACATTCTCCAGATTTACTGTGGGGGATGGCATCACATCCGGTCTCTTACTGGCACAAATAGCTCTGCTTTCCTCTTTGCACTTGCAGAACAAACAAGTTATGGGTGAATGAGCTGGAGTCTGTTCTGCCTAATGCAAAAACATTGCTGCTTGCTAAGTTATATTGTCAACAACAAAGTCTATACACAGAAGAGGTGTAAAAACTACTAAACCAATAAGCCATATTGCTCATTAAGAAAATGATGGGTGACTGGCTGTCTGAGCCAGCTGGACTTGGAACTGTTGTGAACAGAGCCTTGCCATTATTTCCGAAGTCACTTCTGAGAATGTAACTTTCTGATTTGACTGAAGCTTTGAAATACAATCCACAAGGTTTTACTGATCTTCCACAGCATTTGCTCAAACACTTCCTCCAACTTTGGCTTGACTCTGAAGAGCAGTACCCTACTTTGTGTGATAACCAAAAAACCACCGGATGAGTACCTTCAGTGGGTTTGGTATTTAAAATATCAGTACAGTGGGATTAAAACCAGCAGCAACTTCACTTGTTCATGCTGCGTAGCTTCCACATAATTCACTGTGTAGTTCTCTACCAAACTGCCATTTCCTTTAAATTGCAAAAAGTTTCTATCTCACTGAGCTGATGCTATCACATTTATTTCTATAGTAACTATCTCGGTTTTAACTGTTCACAGCCTTTCATTGATATTTCTTGTTGGGAAGCTGATGTGCCCAGGATTATGGCCTTAACTTTGCTCTGAAACCTGCTCTAGTACACACTTCCTAAAAGACCCAGAGGGCCACATCCTACTCAGAGCTCTGCATGCTTGGATTCTATCAAAATAAAGTTCTCTAGAACACAAATAACTGGCAGGATAGGGCATGATCTTCAAGAACATCTAGGTTCCACTGAAATCTGTGAGATGTTTCCAATTCGCTTGCAAGCTTTGGAAAACATTACAGAGACAGTCTCATTTCCAAGCTTGCTGCAGTGTGCTGGCTATTGCCTTATCCAAGCTCCAAGGAATTTCAGTTTCTACAGGAGGAAGAATGGGTTACAGTTGATACCTCTAACCTGTGGCTTACTGTTTCTCAGCAGTTAAACCACCACCATACATAATCCCTATATTCCAATGTGAGGATGAGGCTTACAAAGCCTAGAAAATTCTTGCCATCTTTGATAAGTGCAAATGACTATAAAGGCTGTATCTGCTTGTCCTAGAAATACTCTTGAAAGGCTGCTGTCTGAAAAACGAAGCATTGTAATTTGATGCCTTCTCCTCCAACCAACAGGCAAAGTTATGGCACTAGTCAATGTTTTTGGTGGCATATTTCATTTCAAACAAACAGTTAAGATGGTGCAGCCAAACAGGACTGTGATGAAATTGCTTTTTGGTGCTCTAGAATAAAACAAACAGTGTTCATACCCTAGTCGTTGGAGCATAAAGATTTTTCTCTTTTCCTGGTTATTTGAACTTCTACCTTGTGTCCTCTGGGGAAAGCAACTTTAAATTATGATGCGAAACAAATGATTTGGCTCTGTAAATGCAGCCCCGAGTCCCTCTATGGTTTCTATTAGGGAGGGCAAGGAGGGTAATGAAATTTAAGTCAACTTGCTTATTTTCTGAACTTCCAGGATGCTTTGGAAGGCCAGACTGTAGCCCCAAACTTCTGTCTAGTTATCTTAACTATCACTGTTTGTTAAAGAAAAGATGTAGGTTTAAAGAAAAATGACCAGACAATTACATGTTTACAAAATGAGGAAGAGACAGCTGTTTGTGTTCAGCAAAGTGTAAAACAAGGAAGTAAAAATGAGTTGCCCTTCTGCTGCTTGAGATCAGTGGCTCAATTACTGCAGTTTAAATTTGACTAGATTTTTAGAAATTCTACAAATCAGTAAATGGAAAACTACTGAAAAGAAATTCTGAGGGATACTTACGAAGGCGCATGCATCTTGCTAAGCAATTTCATGGGGGAAGAGGAGCAACACAGGCTTAAAGAAAGGCTAAGCACTTCTGATGCACTTACGGTGTCCCAGAAGGGAAGCCTGCTATCTCCAGCCGGCTAAGGATTTATACCTGAAAAGACTCGAGAAATGTAGCTGTTTGGCTGAACAAATTGGGTCGTCCAGTTTCAGGCTCACTCCGAATAAGCAATCTGCCTGGGGGGACAGGCTATAGCCTAGCTTGCTTGCAAGCAGAAAGGGTCAGAGAGCTGAGTGGGCTCCGAGGGGCTGAGGAGGGAGCTCCGGGACCCGCAGCCGGCCGCACCTGCATGTGGCCGAAGTCCGTGACACCCATGGCGGGCAGGCTGGAGCAGTTCACGAGGATGAGGCGGCGGCCGGTGATGCCGTTGGTCCTGAAGCACTCCTGGAAGCGGAGGGAAGGGCGGGTGGGCCGCGGGCAGCGGGTCGCCCTCGGCCATGACCGCCTCCCCCGCCCCCAGCGCTCACACACGCAGAGTTCAGGGCCGCCGGCTCAGGTGGCGGTGAGGGCGTGTGCTTCCCGCCCGGGCCGGGAGCCCCGCACCTCGTACTGGGGGAGGCCGAGCTGCACCACCCACTCGGCCACCTCCGCGGCGCTCCAGGCCAGGAAGGGGCAGGCGGACCGCGGCCCCCCCGCGCCGTCGGGCTCGGGCTGCGGCCACTCGGCCGGCCCCGGGCTCGGCTCCATCGGTGCCGTCCCCAGGCCGCCGCGGTAACGCGTCCTTCCGGGCCCACGTTCCCATAGCAACCGCCGCTTCCTGGAGGCGCACCCCGTCTCCCTTCCGCCACCCCCTCCACCCTGTCGGCCTACAAAGCCGCCTGCCTCCCGCGCCTGGCGGCTCTGCGGAACTAGTTTTTGCTTGGCTGCGTTGTCGAGGGGGCAGACTGAGGGAAGAGCACCGAGGCACCACCCTCTCCCTTCTGCCTGGCTCACGCGCACCCGCTCGGCTCCTGC